TTTACGTGGTTCCCTCAATGTGAGGTACGTCCACGGGATCGAAATCCGATTCCACTATCAACCAAATAAGTTCCAAACGATTACAAACGAGACACTAATGGTCTCACAAAACCACCCTTAGGTGAATTCCAAATAATCACAAATAAACAAAGAGGAAAGACCTCACCAAATAGAAGAACCAAAATCTTCAGAACCAGAGTTGTAGAAGACCCAAAACAATAAACCCAGCACTAACCGAAGATGCCCCAAACCAAGCTTCAATAACTGAAATTGAACCAATCTGCCAAGCTTCGGCACTACTACCGAAGTAGTGCAATAGTATGGCATATAGCAGCCGCCGTCCTTTCTTTTTTGTTCAAACAAAATAATATATATATTGGATATATATATTATTAAATCTTGGGTTTTGGAATCAAACCCTAATTGTATCTTAATTGAATTAGGTCTCCACAAATATAATATATAAAAATATATTATACCTAAACCAAGCCAAATTGAAACTCTTTTAATAAATCAATTGGGTCCCACACTCCAATAAGGAGGTATACTCAACACCTTCCCATCCAGTGTGAGAGCGATAGACAGATGAAAACCTAGGGTGAGGTTTTCAAATCTAGAAGATGAATAAGAAGAAAAAGATGGAGAATGAAGAGAATGACGGTGAAATGAGGTGGTGAGGTAAGACGGTGAGGGACTGGGTAGCGGCGAAAGGTAATGGCAATAGTAGGCTGGTTGAGGTGGTGGTGATGGGGTGTAATGAAAAATTCAAGTTTTCAAATTTTAAGGTGGAAAGATATTTTAGTAATTTTATGAGTTGAATTAGTGGTGTAAGAAGAATTACCCTTTATTTTTTCAAGAAACTAAACTTACCCTAAAAAATGATGTGTATGATACTTCTGTTAGTTTGGACAGAAAAATTAATAGTAACTGTAACGCCTTCAATTTCATAAGACCCGACTTGTCCATATTCATCATACACTCCAAGTATCAATTGTATTAAACATAGGGAAGTGATAAATTATCTCAAACACATTGTTAATCATATTTTAGTAAGTCTCCCCTTTCGATTAAATTTCATTCAATGTTCCATTATAGGATTACAAAAGGTAAATTACATGCAAGTATACATTCATAATCCCTAAGATTTGAATGTATAGCATGTAATGTGATAACTACAAAAGTAAATAACATCAAAATATATGTCCTATAGGCTTACAAATTTTCCAGGCTGAAGCCCTATTACAACAAAAGTGGATTTCCACCCCAAATAAATTTAAGCCCTAGGCTTTACAAAAATCCACAAAAATAGAGCCTTGGCTCCCAAAATTCTTCATGGCTTTCATCTCGACGGAGGCATACCGTCAGCATCTGAAAAACTTCTACTTCGCCAAAAAAATCATCTAATTGTTGCTAAAAACCTTGCTAGATATTCCCCAAAAGAAATATCGACGATTGGTGAAGGTCACCAAAAAATCATTGCTGGCAATTGAAGTTTATCAACAACATCCAAAGGTGATAGTAGTTGATGTAGTGAACTAAGGGTTTGTTTGATTGGGGGGATTGGGGATTATTCACTGTTCGGATTGCTTATTCAAGAGGGAGATGTCCATCGTTTGATTGGATTTTCAATCCGTTGGACATGGAGTCCGTCATATGAGGGACTAAACAATCCTAGGGGGGGGGGGGTGGGGTGGGGTGGGGTGGGATTATTTCCATGGCATTGGTATCCCATAGGATTAATGTATGAAATGTCCATTTTACTATCATGCTATTACTTAGTAAACAATTGGAAGAGGGTAAAATAGTCTTTTGAACATTTATAAATTATTTTTTTTAGTGGATTTAATTTAAAATTATATATTAAATAAAAAATAAAAAATATAAATTATAAATTTAATTTAATTAAAAATAATAAATTAAAAATTATGGCATTATAAATTAAAAAAATTTAGTGTTGTTAAATTATAAATTATAGATTACAAATTTAAAATTATATATTAAATAAAAATTATAAATTATAAAGGTAAAATAGTGTTTTGAACATTTATCTTTATTAAGTCTGCCTAACCAAACATTTGATTCACTGAAAATAGTTCAATCCAAACATCTAACAGTTATAGTAAACAAAATCATATATTAAATAAAAAATATAAATTATAAATTGCAAGCGTAAAATAGTTTTTTAAATATTTATCTTTATCCAGTCCGTCCGACTACATTATATTTACTAAAAATAGTCCTTTCTAAATATCTAATCTAATGAGAAAACAAATACAGGATACACATTCAATACAACCAAATAATCTAGGGATTCACAGTCTCAGGATTTAAGTACCATAGATTCTAATCCTCCTTATCTAGTTCGTCCAATCAAACACACCCTAAGAATAATTTTATCCAAATAATATTTTGCGTCTTAAAACTAGCAAAGTTTTTTTTAGTTCTCCTGAAACTAATAAAAGCTATTAACAAGGACTTAGGAAAAAAAAATCCCCAATAAAAAATGGCTTATTTTCAAGTTACATAACTAATCACTATAACATATAAGAGTTTTAAATATTTTGGTCTTTAAAATTAAAAATTTTGTTACAAAAAATATTTAGGAATCAATTTCTATCATCATGAGAATAATCATTAAAAAGTTGTTCCGAAAAGTGAAAAATAAGGCTTTTAGCAACAAACTTTTAAAAATTTCACTAATAAATAGACTTCTAGGGATAAAATAATTTGGTCTCAAAATGGTTAATTTTTTTAGACAAAAAATTTGATCCCAAATAGATAATAATACGTTACTAATATCCAATTTTCGTTACTAAAAATATAATAAAGACACTTTTCATAATAAAAATATTTAGTTCTTAAAAAATAATTTTATCCCTAAATTTTAGTCCTTAAAACCTTAAATTTTTTTTTTATAATAGATTATATTTTATTAGTTTAAGGACAATTAAAACATACATGTTAGTTTGAGGACACAATTTTATTGGGGATAAAATTATCCTTAATGCAGTTTTATTAATCATCCACCTTTGACTACCATTAACAACCATCGGCTGTTGTCCGTAAAGTTTATAGTAAAGTAAAATTTCATCCACCTTTGACTACCAATTACACCTTTGACTACCAATTACTGGTGACCTCTTTCCAATGCAACTTTATAGTAAAGTGAAATTTCATTGATTGTCAAACCAACATCAATGAAATTGCACAAAGTTTGAAATTTCACCGATTTTGAATTAGTGAAATTTCTTTAACTAATACCACTAAAATTGCAAAAGATTGGAACAATTTCATTATTTGGAAATGTATTAAATAAGGGTATTTATTTGATAAGTGCATTTATTTTAGTCACATTACCTCTCTATTTTTTAGAATTGGAGATGCTGTTGTGTGGACTACGTAGCAGCGACTGCTGTGCAGCGAAATGGGCTTATTTTGGGACACATTTCGATAATTCGAACCATTCATGTTTTAGAATACATCAAGTGGCACATGCATGTAAAATATCAAGTTAATTGGATATCGTTTATCCATTTATCCACTCATATTTGTATTCATTTTAATACTTTAAATCACAATTATTTTTTATTTTTGTAGATACAAATGTGAGTGGATAAATAAGTAAATGATATCCGATTAACTTGATTTTTTACAGACATGTTTTACTTGATGTATTCTAAAATATGAACAATTCGGATTATTGAAATGGACCCTGAAATAAGCCCATTTGGCTGCACAGCAGCTGCTACTGCGTAGCCCGCACAGCAGCATCCCCAATTCCCTATTGTTCAATACATTTTTTCTTAAGAAGTCTAAAAATGTACTACATAAGCAAACCCCAAACAACCTTAACGCCTATGAAATTTTCATTATGTTAGTGAAATTTCACTAACTAATTCAATTAAAGGTTAATATATAATTTAAATATCTTTACATTTACGTTGAAACTTTTCATAGTGAAATTTCATTGACTAAGAATATCTTATGGATTAATTAAGATACAAGTATATAAAAAGATTTTTTTTTTCACTAAATTCTCCTTTAATTTAATTATATTTTATATTTTAGATCCATCCTTAATTATACTGTATCCTTAAATCATGAGAGGGTAAAATAAAATTTTGAAAAGATTGGTATGGTGATCTAGATAGAGGTGTAATTTTGGCCTGGCCCAACCCGGCCCGGTCCATATGAGCTCGGGTCGGACTCGACCCATGTCAGGCCTTGTGGGCTCTTACCAAAAATCGGGCCGGGCCGGGCCACAGGCCAAAAAACTAGGCCCAGGCCCAAGGGTATTTGGGCTTTTGGACGGGCCAGTGGGGCGGGCCCCTGGGCTTAGTTTGGGCTCGAGCTTTGGGCGGGCTTAGGCTGGCCTAAACAATTTTTAAATTTTTTTTATTTTATTTTTTCCACACAAATTTAATTGTTTTCCATTAAAAATAACACTAGGCCTCGGCGCGGGCCGGGCTTTTGAGTGAGACTTGAGTGGGCCGACGAGTGGGGCGGGCCCCTGGGCTTGGGTTTGGGCTCGAGCTTTGGGCGGGCTTAGGCTGGCCTAAACAATTTTTAAATTTTTTTTATTTTATTTTTTCCACACAAATTTAATTGTTTTCCATTAAAAATAACACTAGGCCTCGGCGCGGGCCGGGCTTTTGAGTGAGACTTGAGTGGGCCGACGGGCCGAGCCAAGCGGGCCGCGCCCACAGGTTAGGCCGGGTCTCAAAACGATGGCCCAGGCCCTGGCCAAAGGCCTCGAGTTAGGCTCGAGCTCGGGCCCAAACGGGCCTAAACTGGCTTCGGGCCGCCCACGGGCCGCGGGCCAAATTTACACTCCTAGATCTAGATGTGAGATATGAGAGTATGCATTCCCTATGATTTGTAAGTGAAAATAATTTTTTGAGAGTCTATAGAGGGAAAAAGTCCCAACTTTAAAAGATATTTAATATAATCTAAATAAATATATTTATTTTTTAACTCCAATTCTATTTAAGAGAAGATGAGCCGACGACCCTATTTTATTTTGTATCTGGTGTTTGTATTTTAGGTTGGGTTGGGTTCCCCTGTCCGTTGTGGTTCATTTTCATTATTATCTGTTGTGCTGAAGAAAGGTATAGCTTCCGATTTGTGCATCGAAAGGAACGATTCCAAACGGGAGATTAGAGATTCACCGACAAAGAGGCAAAGGTGCGAGGATTACTGTTCATCACCACTGCTTTGTTCATCAGCAGAAGAAGAAGAAGAAAAAGAAAAAGAAGACCCTAGATCAAAAGTTGTATTCTATAACTACGATGATTTAGATGTAGAAGATGACAGTGATGGAATGCATGAGTTTACTGATAGGGAATACCAAGAATATAATCGATAGATCACCCAAAGCGATGTAAGTGTGTGTTTGTTTTTGTTTTTGCGCGCTTTGATTCATTTATCTCAATTTTCTTCTAAATCATATATTAAATTACTACATACATACATACATACATACATACATACATACATACAGGGCTTTGATGTGATGTCGCTCCCACGCTCCTTTGCTTGCGGTACAACGACCCCTCTTTATAATTTCGATGAGATTGCCGACGACCTCAAAGCTTTTTCCGAATTAGCTCTTAAGGAATACAATGATGTTTAGTTTTAATACGGATGAGAACTCTGCTTTGTGTAATGTGTATCTAGTTTTATTGCTTTTGTTTGTTATTTTTGTTTATTGCTTTTGTTTAATACTATATTTATGTTTTTGTAAAATTAAAATATTCTATATTTTTTTTTTATTTAATTATGTGGATCTGTGGTCCTAAACCGATCCAATCCGTGTTTAAACGGATTGGTTCCATGATTTAAATAGATTAGATTGGTTTCAATTTTTTAGAAACCATAGATAACGGATTGGTCTTGATTTTACCTCAATCCAGACCAATCCGGACCATACTCACCCCTACTTTGGATTATGAATTGAATTTCTGTTGAATTTTAGATAATCACTATGGGTTGAATTTTACAATCATGGTTCCTAAAAAGTATACTAAAGAAAAAGAAGTAAAAAGTATAAAAATTAATTCAGTCTCAAGCGAGAGCTCTAAACAATTTTTTTTCGTAACAAAAATAAATTGATGAGAGTTCAAATTCAATTGATAATAAAGAACATATTAATGAAGAATTTAAAGATTTTGTGAATGAAGAACCTAATCAAAATAAAGAACGTAATCAATGCTTAAATTTGTTTTGGGTGCTGAAAAACTCAAGGCCCAACCCTGTCTTCTCTGAGACTATACCATAAGAGTTAAGTGAATTTTACTTTATTTAATTTTTTTAAAAATAGAAATGGAGGAATTATTAAAAAGAGAATTGAAAATGCATGACGAGTGATTATTCAATAGTCCGAGAGTGTGGTCACGTGGTACTTTATGATAGTACAATTTGTGGAAAAAGTGGGGTATTAATTATTTGTGTTAAATAATGGAGAAACGTGAAAGGCATAATGAATGATAGTTAATGAGAAAGTATGATTACGTAATACTCCAAGAATACTTAATAATTTTCCATGAATAAGAGGCTCCTCCAATATCACATTTGTTATTTGCGAATGACTATTTTATTTTTCAAAATTACAAGATGGAGGCGATTTGATGCCTTCATTGGTTTTTGAATGCCTTCTGTTTCTATTCAGGCTTGCGTATTAACTTTAAAAAATCTGAGTTATTTACCAGTCCCAATTTTTCAAGGTCAGATAGGGATTGACTTGTATCCCTATTGGGTGTTAAAGTTGTAACGAAGCCGGGGTTATATTTAGGTGCCAATTTAGGATTTTTGGGGCGATCCAAATCGGAGATTTTTAATTCCATATTGGACAAAGTACAATCCAAACTGCAAGGGTGGAAATGTGACCTATTGAATTTTGCAGGACGGGGGATTTTGATTAAACATGTTCTACAGTCTATTCCTGTACACTTAATGTTTGTTTTTTGAATACCCTCATCTTTCTTGAAAAAATTTATAGCTATCCTTCGAGAATTTCTTTGGGCATCTAACTGGGTTGTGGGTTATTTTGGAAAAAGTGGAAATTTGTTTTCTTTCCTAAAGAATGGGGCAGGTTGGGGTTTAGAGATCTTCTGTGTTTCAACTAAGCTTTATTAACGAAACAGGCCTGGCAAATTCTGTCTCTTCCCACTTTACTATTATCTAGAGTTTTGATGGGTAAATATTGTCTGAGACAAACTTTTCTAGCCATCAAACAGTCTCGTTCAACTTCATGGGGTTAGCGTAGCATTCAATAGGATTGGGAGTTATTAAACTCAAGTCTTCAATGTCTGGTAGGGAATGGAAGCCGCATTAATCCATTTGAGGATCAATTGATTCCTGTTGTTTCAAATCCCTAGAAAGGCAGGGGATTGACTAGGTTCTTTCCAGACATGCGAGTTGAGCATTATATTGATCAAGAACATAAATCTTGGCGAGAGAGCAATTGCTTCGTATTTTTTACCCTAAGTCCATTATATCTCATGTAATGGCCATCCACATTCTGACTGTTATTACAGAAGATAGGGTTGTTTGGGGACCGACTAAGAGTGGAGAGTATTCCATGAAATCTGGATACAAGCAAGCTTTGATTAGGCAATTCACAGATCACTGTAGGCCAGATTCGAACTTGTTGGTGTGGAAAACGTTGTGGCAACCCAAGATTCCTCCTAAGTGGGTTTTGTTTGTTTGGAAATGTCTCTACAATATTCTTCCAGTAAAGTGGGAACTAAAAAAAAAAAAATGGGAGTGGCTGTTGATCCATTATGTGCGCGATGTCACACTCATGATGGAACCCTCGAACATTTGTTCTTTGATTGTCCCGTGTCCCGAAGGGTTTGGAGAGGGTCAGCGCTGGGTCTTGATTTTAGCTTGGGTAACCCATTGTCATTCTTCATGTGGTTTAAGCAGGGTCAGCCCTGAGATTTAGGGGGTTTAAGGCGAACTTTAGAAATAGGACCCTCTTACATTGAAAAAAAAATTCATAAATAAAACGATAAGTTACAATTTTTCGATTTGTTTGTAGCCACAAAAAAATTACTTACACGTATAATCATTAAAATTATAAATAAAAATTTACTTTCATATATTAAGATAGGAAACAATCATTACAAATACTTAAAAAAAATAAAAATCTAGTCTTGTTGCTTTTTTTTGAGCCCCATGTTCTATTGGGCCTATAGTATTTGGATTATTTTTTTTATATCTAAAACACAAAATTATATTTAGGGGCCCCTATTTTTAGCCCAAATTTTGGAGTCTAAGGCATAGGCCTCTCTTGCCTACCCTTAGGGCTGACCCTGGGTTTAAGGGTTAGGTTACGCAAGTAAAGGAAAGAGACATCGTAATTCAATCCGTGGCAATATTGTGGGCAATTTGGCTGCAAAGGAATTGTATTGACTTTAAGCATACTGCCAAAACCATTAAAAACACAATAGAGGAGGCAAATAAATTATATGCGGCAGTCATTCAAAAACAACACAACAATCCACATGCAATAGATCAAGATACTTATTCTGAACATAATTTGTTTTCTAATCAATATGTTTTGCAAAACAAGGCACCCACTCGAGAGGACTCAGGTAAATGGCGACTAATGGTGTATGGGTCTTGGAAGTCAACAAAAGATCAAACGGGGACTAGCCTAGGTCTGTTTTGATGAGCATAATCAAGAAGTTGCTCACATGGCATTTGCAGGGCCACCATTCCCTTCTCCATTGCTAACTGAGGCTGCAGCTAGCTTGAAGGCTTTGTGTTGGGCAATGAATCAGGGGATCAGACATCTTATTTTGCAGACTGATTATCAAGTTTTGCTTAGGTTGTTGCAAACTAATGGAAAACCAAATGATTGGCAACTTCAGCCTATTATTGGTGATATTAAGTATTATAGTGAATGTTTTGATTACATTTCCATTGAGAAAGAGGAAAGAGATGTAGTTCAACTAGCTCATAAACTGGCAAAAGATGTAACTAAGTGTAATGTGATATAATACATATAGCTAGGTGATGTTTTGTCCTAAAAAAAAAAAGATAAAAAGAATTGGAACCATTTGTATTTTTCAAAACATAAAAACAAAAAAGAAAACTGTAACTTACAGATGGGCGCGGGTCGGTTGCGGTCACAGAACCTCTAATCTGCCATTCGTCCGCCAAATTGACAGATTAGAGAAAATCAATTCGCATTCGTCTGTCAATCCGGCGGATGTGGATTGAGCAAATTGGTGGATTGGTGGACGGATGCAAATCAATTTGGCGGTTTAAAATTTTATAAACTTTCAACATAATTCAACTTGTGCACTTCCTCAAAAAAAAAAGAAAAAAAATAAATTACAATCAACGACATAAAAAAGTATTGCAATTACTGCACGCCTTATCCAAAGAAAGAAAGTTTGAAATTTTAGAATATTACAATTACTACATACCTCATCCACATAAAGTATTACAATCGGTAATTCTTAAAATATAAAAACAATTCAAACCACCAAAATTATTAACAGAGCGGTAGTAGAGATTGTATGCCTCTGTATTATTACATTAATATCTGTTTTTGAAAACAAAAATCAACCAACATATATCATCTTTTTTATTTATTATTTTTAGAGTTAGATTTAAAAACAAAAAAAATATAGATAAATAATACATTTATTTTTTTTCAATTCAAAATATATATACAAGTTAAAAACTCTTTTTCAACAGAATATATTCAACAGAAATTTTAGACTCTTTTTCAATTAAAAACACAAACATAATATCTAAACAGATTAAAAACACAAAATCTTACAAATTACTAGGGGTGCTTGCAATTTGGCGGTTCAGTTGCGGTCAAAGGTACCTTAAATCCACCATCCGTCCAAAACTAGGCAGATTGAAAAAAATCAATCTGCAACCGTCCGCTCGTCATCACACATCCGTCTAAAATGCGGCGGATCGGTTTGGGCGGATCGATATATCTGCTGCTCATCCCTAACTGTAAGGCATTTAATTGTCATAACACGAGCCACCTACAACTCTAGAAATACTCATATCTGTTCACAATAATATTTGTTAACTCTTCCATAGAAATAACAAAAATAAGCATATATTACACCGTTGCTTTTTCTAATTTTAGCGAAATGCAATTGCATTGATTTAAATTTTATATTTTCAATTATGTTTTAATATTGTCAATTGCCGTTAGCATTATAGACAAAAAAAGCAACACCTACGAAAGTAGAAAGACCACATGTTTTCTTGTAAAAACTATTAGCAACAATTAACAGAGAGATCATATTGAAACCGCAATTGAAAATGTGAGATTTATAGAGGGAATCAAAGGTAAAATATACTTATATATCAACAAAGGAAATAATAATTTGAACTCTTCACTTTTAATTGCAACAGTTAATTTTTTACATTTTAAGTCAAATTGTAATATTACTTTTCCGCCTGTCTACCGTTAATAAAAATTAAAAATAAAGGGACTAAAATGAGATTTTAATAAAAATTTAAGTATTCAGGGTGGAGGTATAGAGGGGCCAGGGGTTGGGTTTTGGATTTTTATTTTATTTTAACAAACATAAAGAAAATATTTTAAATAAAAAATTACAAAAATATTATTTAAAGTGAAATTTCAACGATATTTTTAAAATTATGAGAACAATAATAGTTGTTTTGATTGAAAATAAAGAGATTACGATAAACCATATTATTATCTATAAAAAATTTATGAAAAAATTTCAATGTAACGGTGATGTCTATCATTATTGACATACGAGCATAATTAATCTCACTATAAAGATATATAATTTATTCGATTGTTAATTACATTTGACATGTAGGGTTTACCCTCCATGTATGTTTCTTTATTATTGGTTGATGATATAACATGCCAATGGTGACGTAATATTACTATTATATTGCATTTTTACTCAAATTTTGTATAAAAAAAATTACTTTATCATTATATAATTTATTTTAAGACTTATATCCATGTCTTTTTTCGTATTATCCATGATACACTAGTTACAAATAACATTATTTTTTTGATTTTTCTCAAAGTCAATCGTAAAAAATTTATGTGAAATGTTTTTGTAAAAAATTTTAATATTATAATTAATAAGTGCCCTATTTGATTTATTTCCCTAACTCTGAAACTGCGAGGATTAAAGCGAGTTTTTTTATGAGTGTAAGAACTCTAATAAGACCCCAAAGAAAACATTGGCACTTTGAGCTCATATGACAAATTCCGTCAGCCGTATTAATGGTAAATATATGAAAGGATGACATTAGAACTTGAATTAAAATATAAAGAGTTGAACATTAAAATTAAAAATAAATAGATCAAAGTAAAATTATAATGAAAGAGAAGTGCTAATATAAGTAATTCAAACTTTACCTTGGTTTGAGTTTGCTAAAAACACTTTTCAGAAAATTTTACTTTCTTGTTTTTTGTATTTTTTGTTTTTACTAAATTGTTTTAATTTTTAGACACACTTAACATAAATACACTTAAAAAGTATACTTTTTGTGAAAAAAATCTTTACAAAGTTCACTAAATACCAAAAATATAAAAAAATACAAAAATTCAGTACATTTTTCATATTTTATATATTTATTAATTTTTTAAAATATTTGTGAATATTTTAATTTTTAGACACATCTAAGTAAGATGTATCTAAAAAAGTTTAAAAAAAATGCTTAAAATTTTAAAAATATTTATTAAAAACAAAAATACATGAAAAATAAAAAATTCAATTGTCAAAAAACTTAATTCAAAAAACTCAAACCAATCACGCTGATTGTTATATATTCCAAATCCAATAGAAAATATTATTATTATTTTAATTACTAAACAGTGCAGTTCAAAAATTAAGAACGGTTGCTACATCTAGAATGTATGTATTTAGTTACCTTTCGTTTGCAATAGGGAAGAAACATATCGTTAGATTAGTCAAGTTAATATCCGAAATTGGATCACATAAAAAGAGTTTTTTGATTTTCCAAATAAATAATTGAATGTTATATAGACCTATTTTGGAAAGATGGAAATAAGCAGCTTTTTTTTATATATACTTATTTTCTTATTTTTTGGTTTATTCACAAAATCATTTGGAAAGATGGAAATAAGTAACTTTTTTACTTTTTTTCAAAATTATTTTAATATGATGTTACATCACTTGCAAAATTATAAATTGACCATATTACCCTCATGCAATTTTACTCTTTTTTTTTTTTTTGGCTTATTCACACACAAGAATATTTTGGTAATTTCACTTGTTGACTTATTTTTAACTTTTCAAATGGCTTTTTACTCAAATAAGCTGCCTTTTGATTTTTTTAAAATAAGCCAAAAGCATGCATTTTTTCCTTTTCATTTACAATGTTGGCCACATTATTGCACCTACATACTTTTCCATATTTTTTTTAAAAAAAAAATTAATAAAAAGGGTTGGAGGAATAAAAAGAGAATTGGAAATGAGTAAGAGTTCTTGCCCTGGCCAATTTCTACATTGATATGTGGATGTGCACAAAAGTCCAGCAAATTAGTTAATGAAGTGGAAACCTTCCACTAAGAATTCGAACAATATGTATTTGATTTTTCAAAACATAAAAACAAAAAACTAAAACAAAAAATGATAACAGACAGTTGTAAGGTACCTAAGGTCATAACACGAGCTGCCTACAACTCCATAGAGGAAAATCCTCCACATCATATGCAATCTACCACAGAAATATATAATTTTATTATATAATTTTATAACATTAACCATAAAATATATAATCTCGTCATAATTTAATATAACAAAAATGTTATAATCAAATTAAATATTTTGTGACATCAAAAAAGGATGCCCTGTGGGGGACATTATGGTATCCACGGGCCCTGGCTCCAGAGTAACCGAGTGTCAGTCAGATTTAACTTAACCCATAAGAAGGGATCTCCCACCGAAACACCCAATGGACCTCATCCCCGCACCACAAAATGAGCCAAGTATCAATCAGAGTACAAATTCTCCACAACGAGAGCGCGCCCCCCAAGATTCAACCCTGACTGATCCCTATGGAACATAATGCATTGTCCACGAGACCACTACCCCCGGTGGTAATTGTTTGCTCAATACATGTTTTTCTTATACTAAGTAAATTATATATGTATCTAATATATATACATACAAAATATATAATTTTTATTATATATATTAAGTAATGGCACTGGGACAGGCCAACCACAAGTAACATTCCTAACGACAGTCTATTTCATAAACCGACTTGAAAATTCATTACAATCTGATTCTATAGACTTAAATATCAATCTTACAAAGACATTATTAACTAAGATAATTGTCTATTTTTGTGAGCCTTGTTGACTTAGAAGTTGCAAGCCTCCTATAACACTTGCCAAAAAAAAATTTTAATTGCACTATTATTCCAAAATGTAACTTTAGTCCTTAGAGTTTTAAATTTTTCCACTTTTTGTTACTTTTTTTTTTTTTTTTTTTCAGATCCTGAAATATACTTTCTAAGAGGCATGGTTATATAATAAAAAAAATCCACACAAATTCACAATGACTTATATGTGCCAAATAATATGTTTTCACAAATTAGAGCACAACAAAGATTAGAGATTTCCATTGAAGCACCAAACCAATTAAAAATAGCAACAAGCATAGAATTATAATTGATTTATTGCATACCCATATATAACACAACACAAATTAGGGCAACAACTATAATTAGGGCCCACTGAGGGCAAGCAAAAAGCCATAATTAACAGTACTAGTAGCTTAAACAATTATAGTCCTAAGTGATAATTAGGGCCAAACAATTTTATATCTCACAAATTAGAGAGCAAAGATTGGGGCTAATTGAAAAAATTAGGGCAACAACTATAGTCTTCCATTAAAATTTGATAAACAGAAACAGAGACATAAGAAGAAGAAGAAGAAGAAGAAGAAGAAGTCACAGATTGATTTCGCGCCGACCAATACACGGCTGATTCTCGTCGCCAGAACCAGACCAATGTTTGTATTCTCGCCGTCGACAATATGAATTGCTATATATATATACTAGCGGTGGGGCACACGCGATGCGTGTGCAAACTCGTTTAAAATTATAATATAATTTTGATATTATTTTTTTTAATAATATACATATAAACTATATGAATAATTATGTACAATGTAACATTTGATATTAACGTATTTGATATTTAAAGCATATGCACATTACAATATGTACACGTGTTTTAAAAATTGAAATATTTACTAATCTTAACTAAAAAAACTCTACAATAAAAATTCATATAAAATCTAAATTTGGTAACATGAGACCGGAGATCTTGCAAATCCTGCAAAAAAATATATATATATATATAAGATATATTTATCATAAGATTGGTAATAGTATACATTGATTGAAATTATATTTTACGTTATGAGGCATAATTATACATAAGTTTGGTTTTATAATTGGCTTATTATGTATAAAGGCACAAAAGGTAATTATTTGTGTTAATTTGTTGTAAACAAAATCTAAAAATTAAAAACTTACATATCGACATAGATTGGCATCGTTCATATCAAATGTCACGTTCAATGATCTCATCAAATTGTTTTGATGCAATTTTTGCCATAGATCTATGACAACATTAAACTACCAAAAATAAGATGGAATTCAAATGTCACGTTCAATGATCTCTTCAAATTGTTTTGATGCAATTTTTGCCATAGATCTATGACAACATTAAACTATAAAAAATAAGATGGAATTGACCGAAAATGAAGTACGTAACTTTAGTTATTATACATACAAACCTATAAGTAGATTACCTTGTAACAATGTTGCACATATATTTGTAAGCTTTCAATTTTTGTAGCATTCGTTGCCTATAAAGCTGAGGAAAAATATCTCACGTCTTTGTAAGTTGATTGTTCGACAAATTTATAAAATCTAAAATTAATTTGTAAATTCACAAATATGAATATTTGGAGCGTAGTAGTAAAGTTCAAAAGACTTGATCTTTTACCACATATATATCCATATTGTCTTTACTGCATATACTTGCTCTATCAGATATGATAGGATTTCTATAAAAAGATTACAATAATTATTAGCAAATGTAACATATTGAAATTATTCATATAAAATGCCACAAACACATTATCATACCGATGTTGTCGTTGTCTCAAAAGCTCTCGCACAATTAATTTTCCCAATTGTTTTTTATCAACTTTAATAGAGACAGAGACATCGATGTTGTCGTTCACGATTTTGTTGTTGTACATGTCTCAAATTTGATGTGTTAGGGTAATCGTGATTCATTTTTCCTAAGATTGTTAGCAAACTAACACTTACGTAGATGAAATCCGGCTATCTTTAAAATGTGCCTACATTATATAAAATTATGTAAGAGGCAGTAATAGTATATTCATAATTTGGCACCATGGCGTAGTGTAAAAGAGACCCAGTAATCAAAGAAACACAAACATAAAGTCAACCCAGACAACACACATTCACATACATTATTTAGGATATATAGTTGATAGTTACTCACAGATCAATAAATGTAACGCCCTCAAAATAACAACATTAAACCCATCAGCCAAAGCGTGTGCAACTTGAGATATGATTTAAAAACAAATTGAATATAAATTTTTCAAACATTCGATTAAATATAAAAATAAATAAAAAATAGAATTAAAAATACTTACAGTCAAAAGAGAAGTAGAAGATAAGTATTAATAAAACACGACTGTAGAAGTTATTTGTTCTGACAATCACAAACTCATTACGTAATAAATATAAAAAAATCATATGAAATTTTGGGACCACTGAATTCTTTCTTGTCAAAAAAATACACTTCAAAACAAACATATGAATAAACAAAGGGTTTTTTTAGAAAAGTTACAATAAAAAAGATTAGACACCTACAACTTTCTTTGAATTTTGGCCACCCATGGATTTTTCCAAATTGCATGAGATTTGGCCAAACTTTCATGAATGTTAACTAAAAAAATATACAACAAAAATTCATATAAATAAATATAAAAAAAATTACATATAAATAAAAATAAAAATAAAGATTGAATAAAAAAATTACATATTTGATTTTTTGAAGCATAGAAAAAGAAATTATATATTTGAAGCATTACAAACTCATGCAATAGAATTTTTTTAGAATTATTCAAGTTTCAAGCATTACAAACTCAACATTCGTATAGAATACTTATAGTCAGAGCAAATAGGTGTTGATAGAGAAAAATCCAAAAAGTTTATTCTGAACAACACAAAATTATAAAGCAACCTGCCAAAAATATAAACGAAGGAAAATAATAGTCAGTTTTTTTCTCCAAGAAATCTATTAACATAATTTTTTTCTTTTACTTTTTAATGAAGAAAATAAAAGTGTAAGTAATAATGGTACACACAAAATAACAAAACAGGAACCCATATTCTTGGAACACTTGCAGTGAAAAATAAATAATAAACCCAAAAAAAAATAATTTCAAGCATATATATATAAAAAAAAAAAATTGCATATTTGATTTTTTCAAGCATAGAAAAAGAAGTTATATATTTGAAGCATTACAAACTGAAGCAATAGAACATCTACCGTCAAAGCAATTAGGTGTCGATAGAGAATAATCCGAAAAGTTTATTCTGAACAACACAAAGTTATAAAGCAACCTGCCAAAAATATAAACGAAGGAAAATAGTAGTCAGTTTTTCTCTCCAACAATTCGATTAACATACTTTTTTTTTTCTTTTACTTTTTATTGAAGAAAATAAAAAGTGTAGGTAATAATGGTACACACAAAATAACAAAAGAGGAACCCATATTCTTGGAACACTTGCAGTAAAAAATAAATAATAAACCCAAAAAAAAAGACTTATTTGTTTTTTATTTTTTTGAAATAAAACAATTTTTATGAACATTGAATTGTTTTTAAGAAAAACACACATACAAAATTAAGCAATCAAACAACCTAATTTTTTGAAAACATAAATTGTAAGCTCCTGTTGGCTTTTAATAATAGTATAGATTTTTATTTTCTTCAATAAAAAGTTTCATTATGTAATTAGGTTCTGTGGAGAAAAAAAATATTGATTCAGAACACTATTATGTATTTTTTTTCATCATTAAAAAGTTTCATTGTGTGTGTGTTTTGAAAAAAAATAAATAAATAAAAAAATTCAGTGTTCTTAATTTTGTGTGTGTGTATTTTTGGGGGAAAAAAAAAAGCAGAGTTTTGTGTATTTTCATTAAATTAATTTTTAGGTTCTTAATTCATATTTATGCAGGCTTCCAATAAAAAGTTTCATTATGTAATTAGGTTCTGTGGAGAAAAAAAATATTGATTCAGAACACTATTATGTATTTTTTTTCATCATTAAAAAGTTTCATTGTGTGTGTGTTTTGAAAAAAAATAAATAAATAAAAAAATTCAGTGTTCTTAATTTTGTGTGTGTGTATTTTTGGGGGAAAAAAAAAAGCAGAGTTTTGTGTATTTTCATTAAATTAATTTTTAGGTTCTTAATTCATATTTATGCAGGCTTCCAATAAAAAGTTTCATTATGTAATTAGGTTCTGTGGAGAAAAAAAATATTGATTCAGAACACTATTATGTATTTTTTTTCATCATTAAAAAGTTTCATTGTGTGTGTGTTTTGAAAAAAAATAAATAAATAAAAAAATTCAGTGTTCTTAATTTTGTGTGTGTGTATTTTTGGGGGAAAAAAAAAAGCAGAGTTTTGTGTATTTTCATTAAATTAATTTTTAGGTTCTTAATTCATATTTATGCAGGCTTCCAATAAAAAGTTTCATTATGTAATTAGGTTCTGTGGAGAAAAAAAATATTGATTCAGAACACTATTATGTATTTTTTTTCATCATTAAAAAGTTTCATTGTGTGTGTGTTTTGAAAAAAAATAAATAAATAAAAAAATTCAGTGTTCTTAATTTTGTGTGTGTGTATTTTTGGGGGAAAAAAAAAAGCAGAGTTTTGTGTATTTTCATTAAATTAATTTTTAGGTTCTTAATTCATATTTATGCAGGCTTCCAATAAAAAGTTTCATTATGTAATTAGGTTCTGTGGAGAAAAAAAATATTGATTCAGAACACTATTATGTATTTTTTTTTTTCATTAAAAAGTTTCATTGTCTGTGTGTTTTGAAAAAAAATAAAAATAAATAAAAAAATTCAGTGTTCTTTAGAGTAAATTTTAAATGCACCATTGTCATAATTTGTCATTTAACTGAATTTACGAAAGTAACAAAATTTCTAACTATCTTCCTGTACAATAATAAAGTCACTAGAATTATTAACTGAAATTTATTTCTGATATCATTACAAACTTTAATTGATTTAATGATTGATTAATGAAATGAGTCATTTGTTATCTAATTAGAAAAGTTAAGGGACGAGATTTATTTTTCAGACTTACAGAGACAATTTAATATTTTAAGCAAATATCAAGGGATATATTTATAATTTACCCTTTCTTTTAATGGGTTGTGTGAAGTCGATAGATATTTTAGCAATAGTCTGAAATTTTGTTCAAAAACATTTTAGATTGCTCAAATTCATTTTATATGTGAATCTCATATCCATAATACACTAAGAAAATCCCACCACAGCTTTGAATGAATTTGAATAGTAAATTTATGTAAATTCGACTAGTTTAAATAAAAGTTCAATATCAGTGTAAATAACACGCACGCATTATCCTCATATAATAATAAACCACTGGTGAAACTTGCTGTTTAGATATAATTATTAAATTTAACACGATCAATAACTACCAAAAGTGCAAATTAAAAATGGTGAAATAAATCACCTTTCTACTTTTCATTGGAGAAATTGTAAATCAGTAAAAACAGTAGAAAAATAAAATTAAATATTCTTGTTAGCAAATCAGGACGATCATGTGGTGACTGTCCAGGTAGCAACTCAGCTTTAATTTCAGGCCAATTTGGATTGCAGGTCATTGTAAGGAAAAGATCAGGTTTTCCATACTTTTGGACCAGAGCCATTGCATCTTGATATCGCTGATACATGTCTCGTGGGCTACCAACAAATGACGATGGCAATATTGTTCTACGACCAACATTACCTAAACAAATATTTCACAAAAGGAAAAAAGAAATTGTATGTATGAATATAAACAAACATGCGTACATGTAATTGTAATATCGTACGTGACAATTTGTACCTCCATAATTTTCACCAGCATGTATTGCATCTAGAAGACCTTGATAAAAATCTGCTCGAATGTGATTCTGATGAGTACGTATCCATCTTAATTTGTTGGACTCAATCTTCACGTAATTATCTACAACATACTGCTGTAAGAGACGACCTCCTCGAAGAAAAAGAGATTGATCACCAGGGCGAATCTGAATTGATAGTATTTCAATACTTATAAATAATTAAAAGTAAAGATTTTATACGAAATAATTATAGATTGAATAACTTCGACGAAGTAATTTTTTAATATTATGTATACGTCGTTACCTGTAGCATATAAGAATATAAATCACAACATGTTACTTTTCTGCCATCATTACTTCTGGTATTTGCATCCCATCCATATAAACCGTAGGGTGACAACAGAGGATAGTGTAATGGATCATAGTATCCGACAATATTAGAAATATTTAGGAGGTGACCACTGGTTGATTGGACAATGATATCTCTTGGTTTTAAATTTCCAGCTTCTTTGCCACCAACTAAAACTGCAGCAACTTCAGGAGCAGTAAGAAGGTTGTATTGGGGCCTATTACGTGGTTTCTCTTTGATTTGAAGTCTGCATTCATGTATGTATGGACGCTGAGCCAATTGGCGAAATGTGTGTACAAATGGATTATGAGTATTTAAAATATTCTTTATCTTGTCAAGCAAATCCAAGTGCAATTCTTCATTTTTGAACATTCGATTCTCATTCTCGTAGTCAGTGTCATAAACATACAGTTGCAAATATCTCGGTCTGTCGCTAGAATTTGGTAAGAGACTCCCAATCTTATGATATATGGCTCCTTGTGCACGAAACGTGTACACACCTTGAGTTCTTGTTGCTAAGTTTTCATCAACATGAACATCCATTGAAGTGAATGAGAAAACATGATTGTAGGCTCGAATATTTTGTCTGAAATGACGACCTTCCACTGTTTGGTCAGAGAAAATATCAATAATCTCATTTGGAGCTGTTACTGGTGGCAAAATAATTGTTCCATTATTACAACACATGGTAGATGTTTCACGGTGGAACAATCTTGCGTTGCAATGTCTACATGTAGTTGGAGCAGGGAACCGCATTCTTGGGAACCTTTCACTTTCATGAAAATTTCTTGCACAATTATGATATCTCCTATGGATAAATGATCGATTATCTGGAATATCTTCATCACTCAAAGCATCCTGATTGTGGTCAACATGAGGGATATTTCCTATGACAATACATGTATGATGTATGGGTTTATTATTAACACAATAGTATTTGTTTGAAAGTGTTTGAGTTTCATGTCCAATATTAAATGTAATTGTACTGCATATCATATTTGCATGATCATATTTTTTACATTTATTGTAAAGGTTGTTTATTTTGTAAAAGTACTTAAACTAAATAAATTATTTGTACCTTCCATCTGAACTTCGCGAGGATCTTGTCTGCTGCCACTTGTGCTTCCATGCTCATAAGTCGAATGAGTAGGTGCATATCGGGGTAAGTCGATACGTGTGAGTACAGTGATTCTACTTTCCCGTCTGAAAACATTAGTCGCAACCGAATTGCCTTCTTCGTGAATGGTTGGCAAAACTGTTGGTCGCGGCCTACGCCATCCTGTTCTATTTCTTCTTGGGATTGCATCGAAAAAGTTTAACATGCATCCTAGCAGTTAAAATTATAAATAATAAATTAAATGAATATTAATGTCAAAAGTGTAAAAGCTTACCAAAAAAAATGTTTATAACATTTGAATACTTACTACTTGTTTGTGCATTTTTGTAGCAATTTACAAGTCGAAGTTAAGTCAAAAGTGTAAAGCTCACAAAATAAGAAATAATGTTTATAACATTTGAATACTTACTACTTGTTTGTGCATTGGTCATATTATGTACTTGATTTGGATGAGAAGTTTGTTCGAGATTTTCAGATATTTGCCTTCTTTGTCGATAATTTGTTTGTCGCCTTGCAAGTTGTTGTTCGCGTTGTTCAATAGTCAAAGCAGCCCTCTTTTGTCTAGCATAATTACGCCAACTTTCCCTTTGAATTTCTCTTTGTTGCACATTAGAGGTCGCACTTTCTTCGCGAATAAACAATCTTCGCCTGCGCTGAGCAAGACGACGTTGCTCCAATCTTGCTGAGCGTTGTTCAGTGCTTAAGCTTTGAAGGCGTAACTGTTCGAATTCTCTTTGCGGTTGTTCAGTTTGAGCATTTGGTTCCGAAGCTGAGCGTTGCCTCCTCTGTTGTAGGTATAAACGACGTCGTTCACGATTTTGTTGTTGTACATGTCTCAAATTTGATGTGTCAGGGTAATCATGATTCATTTTTCCTAAGATTGTTAACAAACCAACACTCACGTAGATGAAATCCGGCTATCTTTAAAATGTACCTACATTATTTAAAATTATGTAAGAGGCAGTAATAGTATATTCACAATGTGACTCGTATACTCACAATATAATAAGCTTTATATTTTTATGTAAGTGTTTACATATGTTTGCTTTTATATTTTTATAATGCATATTATTTTAAGTACTAATCTTATTTTGTGGAGAATTAAATAAAATTGCAAGTGAAAGAGATTACCTAGCAATGATGAACCAAAGCGTGTGCAACTTGAGATATGATTTAAAAACAAACTGAATATAATTTTTTAAAACATTCGATTAAATATAAAAAAATAAAAAATAGAATTAAAAATACTTACAGTCAAAAGAGAAGTAGAAGATAAGTATTAATAAAACACGACTGTAGAAGTTATTTGTTATGACAATCACAAATTGATTACGTAATAAATATAAAAGAAATCATATGAAATTTTTGGATCACTGAATTCTTTCTTATCAAAAAAATACACTTCAAAACAAACATATGAATAAACAAATGATTTTTTAGAAAAGTTACAATAAAAAAGATTAGACACCTACAACTTTCTTTGAATTTTGGCCACCCATGGATTTTTCCAAATTGCATGAGATTTGGCCAAACTTTCATGAATGTTAACTAAAAAAATATACAACAAAAATTCATATAAATAAATATAAAAAAAATTACATATAAATAAAAAAAAATAAAGACTGAATAAGAAAATTACATATTTGATTTTTTGAAGCATAGAAAAAGAAATTATATATTTTAAGCATTACAAACTCAAGCATTACAATATGCAATAGAATTTGTTTAGAATTATTCAAGTTTCAAGCATTACAAACTGAACATTCGTATATAATACTTACAGTCAAAGCACATAGGTGTCGATAGAGAAAAATCCGAGAAGTTTTTTATGAACAACACAAAGTTATAAAGCAACCTGCCAAAAATATAAACGAAGGAAAATAATAGTCAGTTTTTCTTTCACACAAATCGATTAACATACTTTTGTTTTCTTTTACTTTTTATTGAAGAAAATAAAAAGTGTAAGTAAAAATGGTACACACAAAATAACAAAACAGGAACCCATATTCTTGGAACACTTGTAGTAAAAAAATAAATAATAAACCACAAAAAAAAAGACTTATTTGTTTTTACTTTTTTTGAAATAAAACAATTTTTATGAACATTGAATTGTTTTTAAGAAAAACACACATACAAAATTAAGCAATCAAACAACCTAATTTTTTGAAAACATAAATTGGAAGCTCCTGTTGGCTTTTAATAATAGTATAGAATTTTTATTTTCTTCAATAAAAAGTTTCATTATGTAATTAGGTTCTGTGGAGAAAAAAATATATTGACTGAGAACACTATTATGTAATTTTTTTCTTCATTAAAAACTTTCATTGTGTGTGTTTTTGGAGAAAAAAAATATTTCAGTGCTCATAATTTTGTGTGTGTCTGTTTTTGAAAAAAATTTCGGTATTTTTTGTATTTTCATTAAATTAAACTTTAGGTTCTTAATTTTTAGGTTTTTAATTAAACAGTTTGACACCTATGTGTAATTAGGTTCTGTGGAGAAAAAAAAAATATTGATTCAGGACACTATTATGTATTTTTTTTCTTCATTAAAAAGTTTCATTGTGTGTGTGTTTTGAAAAATAAATTAAAAACTAAAAAAATTCAGTGTTCTTAATTTTGTGTGTGTGTGTATTTTTTGGGGGAAAAAAAGTAGTTTTTTTTGTAGCTTCATTAAATTAATTTTTAGGTACTTAATTCATATTTATGCAGGCTTCCAATAAAAAGTTTCATTATGTAATTAGGTTCTGTGGTAATAAAAAATATATTGATTCATAACACTATTATGTATTTTTTTTTCTGCATTAGAAACTTTCATTGTGTGTGTTTTTGGAGAAAAAAAAAAATCAGTGCTCATAATTTTGTGTGTGTCTGTTTTTGAAAAAAAAATCGGTATTTTCTGTATTTTCATTAAATTAATTTTTAGGTTTTTAATTAAACAGTTTGACACCTATGTGTAATTAGGTTCTGTGGCGAAAAAAAATATTGATTATGAACACTATTAGGTATTTTTATTCTTCATTAAAAAGTTTCATTGTGTGTGTGTTTTGGGGAAAAAAAAAAAAAAATTCAGTGTTCTTAATTTTGTGTGTGTGTGTGTATTTTTGAGGGAAAAAAAAGCAGCGTTTTTTGTATTTTTATTAAATTAATTTTTAGGTTCTTAATTCATATTTATGCAGGCTTGTTTGAATAATTTGGCACCATGACGTAGTGTAAAAGAGACCCAGTAATCAAAGAAACACAAACATAAACTCAACCCAAACAACACAAATTCACATACATTGTTGAGGATATATAGTTGATAGTTACTCACAGATCAACAAATCATAGATAAAACCACAAAAAAACATAATTAATTAAAATTAGAAATTTAAAAGAGGTGGCGGTGCTTCTTTCCTCGTACAGTTGAAAACAACCATATGAAAAAACAAAGGCTCCGTTTGGTAGAGCTTTGTAACTATGATTTGAGAATATGAGTTGTATTTTGAATTTGTGTGTTTTAGAATTATGATTTGAGTGTAGAAAATTTGTTTGGTTATGGTTTTTGAATAAAGTGTTGAATTGAGTGTGGAATTGAATGTAGAATTGAGTTTTGAAAGTTTGATTTGACATGTGAAGTAAGAAAATTTTTAATGTCAAACTTAGAAGTGTAAAAGCTTACCAAAAAAATAATGTTTATAACATTTGAATACTTACTCCTTGTTTGTGCATTGGTCATATTATGTACTTGATTTGGATGAGTAGTTTGTTCGAGATTTTCAGATATTTGCCTTCTTTGTCGATAATTTGTTTGTCGCCTTGCAAGTTGTTGTTCGTGTTGTTCAATAGTCAAAGCAGCCCTCCTTTGTCTAGCATAATTACGCCAACTTTCCCTTTGAATTTCTCTTTGTTGCACATTAGAGGTCGCACTTTCTTCGCGAATAAACAATCTTCGCCTGCGCTGAGCAAGACGACGTTGCTCCAATCTTGCTGAGCGTTGTTCAGTGCTTAAGCTTTGAAGGCGTAACTGTTCGAATTCTCTTTGCGGTTGTTCAGTTTGAGCATTTGGTTCCGAAGTTGAGCGTTGCCTCCTCTGTTGTAGGTATAAACGACGTCGTTCACGATTTTGTTGTTGTACATGTCTCAAATTTGATGTGTCAGGGTAATCGTGATTCATTTTTCCTAAGATTGTTAACAAACTAACACTCACGTAGATGAAATCCGGCTATCTTTAAAATGTACCTACATTATATAAAATTATGTAAGAGGCAGTAATAGTATATTCACAATGTGACTCGTATACTCACAATATAATAAGCTTTATATTTTTATGTAAGTGTTTACATATGTTTGTTTTTATATTTTTATAATGCATATTATTTTAAGTACTAATCTCATTTTGTGGAGAATTAAATAAAATTGCAAGTGAAAGAGATTACCTAGCAATGATGAGCCAAAGCGTGTGCAACTTGAGATATGATTTAAAAACAAACTGAATATAATTTTTTAAAACATTCGATTAAATATAAAAAAAAATAAAAAATAGAATTAAAAATACTTACAATCAAAAGAGAAGTAGAAGATAAGTATTAATAAAACACGACTGTAGAAGTTATTTGTTATGACAATCACAAACTGATTACGTAATAAATATAAAAAAATCATATGAAATTTTTGGATCACTGAATTCTTTCTTATCAAAAACATACACTTCAAAACAAACATATGAATAAACAAATGATTTTTTAGAAAAGTTACAATAAAAAAGATTAGACACCTACAACTTTCTTTGAATTTTGGCCACCCATGGATTTTTCCAAATTGCATGAGATTTGGCCAAACTTTCATGAATGTTAACTAAAAAAATATACAACAAAAATTCATATAAATAAATATAAAAAAAATTACATATAAATAAAAATAAAAATAAAGATTGAATAAAAAAATTACATATTTGATTTTTTCAAGCATAGAAAAAGAAGTTATATATTTGAAGCCATTACAAACCGAAGCAATAGAACATGTACCATCAAAGCAATCAGGTGTCGATAGAGAATAATCCGAAAAGTTTATTCTGAACAACACAAAGTTATATAGCAACCTTCTGAATCAATAAACGAAGGAAAATAATAGTCAGTTTTTCTCTCCAATTCGTATATAATACTTACAGTCAGAGCACATAGGTGTCGATAGAGAAAAATCCGAGAAGTTTTTTCTGAACAACACAAAGTTATAAAGCAACCTGCCAAAAATATAAACGAAGGAAAATAATAGTCAGTTTTTCTTTCACACAAATCGATTAACATACTTTTGTTTTCTTTTACTTTTTATTGAAGAAAATAAAAAGTGTAAGTAAAAATGGTACACACAAAATAACAAAACAGGAACCCATATTCTTGGAACACTTGCAGTAAAAAATAAATAATAAACCACAAAAAAAAAGACTTATTTGTTTTTAATTTATTTGAAATAAAACAATTTTTATGAACATTGAATTGTTTTTAAGAAAAACACACATACAAAATTAAGCAATCAGACAACCTAATTTTTTGAAAACATAAATTGTAAGCTCCTGTTGGCTTTTAATAATAGTATAGATTTTTATTTTCTTCAATAAAAAGTTTCATTATGTAATTAGGTTCTGTGGAGAAAAAAATATATTGACTGAGAACACTATTATGTAATTTTTTTCTTCATTAAAAACTTTCATTGTGTGTGTTTTTGGAGAAAAAAAATATTTCAGTGCTCATAATTTTGTGTGTGTCTGTTTTTGAAAAAAATTTCGGTATTTTTTGTATTTTCATTAAATTAAATTTTAGGTTCTTAATTTTTAGGTTTTTAATTAAACAGTTCGACACCTATGTGTAATTAGGTTATGTGGAGAAAAAAAAATATTGATTCAGAACACTATTATGTATTTTTTTTCTTCATTAAAAAGTTTCATTGTGTGTGTGTTTTGAAAAATAAATTAAAAACTAAAAAAATTAAGTGTTCTTAATTTTGTGTGTGTGTGTATTTTTTGGGGGAAAAAAAGTACTGTTTTTTGTAGCTTCATTAAATTAATTTTTAGGTACTTAATTCATATTTATGCAGGCTTCCAATAAAAAGTTTCATTATGTAATTAGGTTCTGTGGAGAAAAAAAATATTGATTCAGAACACTATTATGTATTTTTTTTTTCTGCATTTAAAACTTTCATTGTCTGTGTTTTTGGAGAAAAAAAATAAAATATATCAGTGCTCATAATTTTGTGTGTGTCTGTTTTTGAAAAAAAAATCGGTATTTTCTGTATTTTCATTAAATTAATTTTTAGGTTCTTAATTAAACAGTTTGACACCTATGTGTAATTAGGTTCTGTGGCGAAAAAAATATATTGATTATGAACACTATTAGGTATTTTTATTCTTCATTAAAAGGTTTCATTGTGTGTGTGATTTGGGGAAAAAAAAAAATTCAGTGTTCTTAATTTTGTCTGTGTGTGTATTTTTGGGGGGAAAAAAAGCAGTGTTTTTTGTATTTTCATTAAATTAATTTTTAGGTTCTTAATTCATATTTATGCAGGCTTGTTTCAATAATTTGGCACCATGACGTACTGTAAAAGAGACCCAGTAATCAAAGAAACACAAACATAAACTCAACCCAAACAACACAAATTCACATACATTGTTGAGGATATACAGTTGATAGTTACTCACAGATCAACAAATCATAGATAAAACCACAAAAAAACATAATTAATTAAAATTAGAAATTTAAAAGAGGTGGCGGTGCTTCTTTCCTCGTACAGTTGAAAACAACCATATGAAAAAACGAAGGTTTTTTTTTAAGAATAGTTACAAATATGAAAAGGGACTTTACTCCCATGTCTTCTCCACTTTTTTTTTTTGTTACAGTGTCTTCTCCATCGTCTCTTCTGGGAAAATGAAGAAAATGGCACAAAACCCATTTTTCTTTTTTTGCAACAGAGAACCTATAAACATCACAACAACTCTGAAATATAATTCCCCAGAAACTGCATTTCATTGCAAAGAGAGACCCAATGAAAACCCAAACGAAGATTGTTTCCCGCTTGGAATGTTTGAGTTTTGTAGGCCGTAATTAGCAGACCGAAATTGAGATTTCTTCTTCCCCGAAAGACGACGATAACCCGAAGGAGAAACCCAACTGACAATTCCTCATTTTGATATACATATCAACCGGTGATTTAGAAATTCAGTGGGAAAAGAAAAGCAAAGATTACCAAATTAAATAGGGAAGATCACATACACACATATCAACCGGTGATTTAGAAATTCAGTGGGAAAAGAAAAAGAAAGAGGGTGCAGGGGAAATGCTTACCAAATTAAATAGGGAAGATCACATACACAGTAGTGCATGATATTCATAGAAGATGCTGAGGAGGGTAGGGCCAATTCTTGGGCTGATTGGGCTGTTGGAAAGTATCCCCGTGAGCAAGCTTCTTGGATATATGTTACTGTTGGAAAATTTCAAATCATAATGTCTACATGTTTCCATCAACAAAACTTAAAAAAAAAAAATCACATTATAAACATGAAGATTTTGATATTGTAAGATAAATTGATAGAGAGAGAATTACAGAGAAAATGAATTATGTATTATTGATTGATTGTATATTGATTGATATATTGAATTGTGTATATTACAAGGATTTATATAGGAGAGGATTTGGGAGTAGGTGAAGGTGGTAGTGGAGGTGGTAGGTGGAGTGGGAGTGAAGTAGTTTACATTTACTTTTACAATTTACATTAACTGCCCCCCTCAAACTCAAGGAGGATAGATACTAGCCAACTTGAGTTTGGAGAGAGTAACAAAACAGAAAAATAAGCTGACAAATTAAAAATGGGATAGGAGACACTGTATGGTTATGTCAGACCGATGTAGCAGACAGTTTATGGGGTCATGTCGGACCGTTGTAGCAGACAGTTTACGGGGTCATGTCGGACCGTTGTCAGTGTTCTTAATTTTGTCTGTGTGTGTATTTTTGGGGGGAAAAAAAGCAGTGTTTTTTGTATTTTCATTAAATTAATTTTTAGGTTCTTAATTAAACAGTTTGACACCTATGTGTAATTAGGTTCTGTGGCGAAAAAAATATATTGATTATGAACACTATTAGGTATTTTTATTCTTCATTAAAAGGTTTCATTGTGTGTGTGATTTGGGGAAAAAAAAAAATTCAGTGTTCTTAATTTTGTCTGTGTGTGTATTTTTGGGGGGAAAAAAAGCAGTGTTTTTTGTATTTTCATTAAATTAATTTTTAGGTTCTTAATTCATATTTATGCAGGCTTGTTTCAATAATTTGGCACCATGACGTACTGTAAAAGAGACCCAGTAATCAAAGAAACACAAACATAAACTCAACCCAAACAACACAAATTCACATACATTGTTGAGGATATACAGTTGATAGTTACTCACAGATCAACAAATCATAGATAAAACCACAAAAAAACATAATTAATTAAAATTAGAAATTTAAAAGAGGTGGCGGTGCTTCTTTCCTCGTACAGTTGAAAACAACCATATGAAAAAACGAAGGTTTTTTTTTAAGAATAGTTACAAATATGAAAAGGGACTTTACTCCCATGTCTTCTCCACTTTTTTTTTCGTTACAGTGTCTTCTCTATCGTCTCTTCTGGGAAAATGAAGAAAATGGCACAAAACCCATTTTTCTTTTTTTGCAACAGAGAACCTATAAACATCACAACAACTCTGAAATATAATTCCCCAGAAACTGCATTTCATTGCAAAGAGAGACCCAATGAAAACCCAAACGAAGATTGTTTCCCGCTTGGAATGTTTGAGTTTTGTAGGCCGTAATTAGCAGACCGAAATTGAGATTTCTTCTTCCCCGAAAGACGACGATAACCCGAAGGAGAAACCCAACTGACAATTCCTCATTTTGATATACATATCAACCGGTGATTTAGAAATTCAGTGGGAAAAGAAAAAGAAAGAGGGTGCAGGGGAAATGCTTACCAAATTAAATAGGGAAGATCACATACACAGTAGTGCATGATATTCACAGAAGATGCTGAGGAGGGTAGGGCCAATTCTTGGGCTGATTGGGCTGTTGGAAAGTATCCTCGTGAGCAAGCTTCTTGGATATATGTTACTGTTGGAAAATTTCAAATCATAATGTCTACATGTTTCCATCAACAAAACTTAAAAAAAAAAAATCACATTATAAACATGAAGATTTTGATATTGTAAGATAAATTGATAGAGAGAGAATTACAGAGAAAATGAATTATGTATTATTGATTGATTGTATATTGATTGATATATTGAATTGTGTATATTACAAGGATTTATATAGGAGAGGATTTGGGAGTAGGTGAAGGTGGTAGTGGAGGTGGTAGGTGGAGTGGGAGTGAAGTAGTTTACATTTACTTTTACAATTTACATTAACTGCCCCCCTCAAACTCAAGGAGGATAGATACTAGCCAACTTGAGTTTGGAGAGAGTAACAAAACAGAAAAATAAGCTGACAAATTAAAAATGGGATAGGAGACACTGTATGGTTGTGTCAGACCGATTTGAGATAACTATGTAAATTCTTTTGAAGAATAAGTACAAGAACTGCAGTTCATGTTTGGAAAAGGTGTACAAGAGTTCTATCCCCTCATGAACAACTTCTAGCCACAGGTGTACATGCTATGTGTGCAGTTTTATCTTATACCCATTACATATACACACGTGTAAATAAAAAGAAATATAATTGAGAAAGTTTAGAGGATGTTGCAACATTAACGAGATATTGTTTGGAAATTATGGGTGAGACATGGTTTTGTGGATAAGATTCAGTTTTTTAGTGTTACACAGCCACAGCTTCAAAAAGACTTATACACCAAATTAACATGTTCACTTTATACCGATGTAGCAGGACAGTTTACGGGGTCATGTCGGACCGATGTAGCAGGACAGTTTACGGGGTCATGTCGGACCGGTGTAGCAGAGGTTGTGGTGGTGCACAGTGCGCCATGAGCGACTTATACAGGATATTGTGTATAACCCCCCCTCAAACTCAAATAGGTGTGAAGATAGAAACCTATTTGAGGTTGAAACAAAGGGATTGATAAAGCTGACCGGTGTAGAAGACACTGTATGAGTGTGTATATAGGCTGCCCAAAAGATATACATGGATATAGATATCGAGCCCTCAAAAGTCGTGCCCTCAAAAGGTGTGCCCACACCCGCAAAAGGCGTGCCCAAATGCATCAAAAGGCGTGCCATAAAAAGGCGTGCTAGGTTGTCGGGCGTCAAGAGGCGCGCGATGCGCGTGGCTGCCGCGGCTATTTAACCAAGACGGAGCCTGAGGCCGAGGCAGAAGACAAACAACTTGCGAAGAAAAACTTCTGAAAAACGCTTCGTTGTGCTGAGAGAGATAGTCTGTAACACTCTGTGGCGAGAGATGGCTTCGTCGTCCCGTGGTCTGCTGACTCTCTTTCCCGATCTCAACGAGTCAACAAGAGAGATAACGGGTGCGGTGTCCCGTGAACCTCAACCAAACACCACTGGGTTTGCTCCGTTGAACTTTCCGATGCAGTCGGTGGAGCAAAAAATGGCAGTGCAAACGGATGTGGAGGCGAATCAGTATACTTTGAAGGCATGTGTGGAGTCCATGACGGCGGTCACAAACTTGTCGCACCGGCTGCAGAGTAGGACAAATGAGGTGCAGCAGCTAAACGCCCAGCTGGCTCTGCTCCAACGCATGTATAAGGATGCGCGAGCAGAGATAAGTGTGCTAAAGGCAGAAAACAAGGAACTGAAGCGGAAGGCCACCGTGATGTTCCGATTTGGAGGTCCGCCATATGCTGCAGCGGAGGAGCAGGGTGGAGTGATCGTGCCCAATGGAGTGGGAAACACGGAGGCAACACCGGCAAGGGCCGCCCAGGACGGAGGCAAGAAGAAAAGACCGGCGGCAGAGTAGAGAAGAAAAATCTCGCCTGTGGATGAGGTTGTTTTGTTTTTGTGTGTTTTTGTTTTTTTTTTTTGTTTTTTTTTTTGTTTTGTTTTTTTTTTTTTTTTTTTTTTGTTTTTTTTTTAATGTAAAAGTGTGATCGGGGTTGATCCCCTGATATGAATAAAAGGACAAGGTTGTGAAATGTGGTTGGTGTGAGTTGGTGGTGTTGTTTTGTTGAATAAGAAAAAATAAAATAAAAGAAAACAATGGATAAAGAAAAGAGAGAAAAAAAAATATATATATATATTGGTGGATGGGTGATAAGAAAAACAGCGGTGTGCAGGTCGTCTTCTTCTTCTGTTTTTGTTGTTTTTTTTGTTGTTGTTTTTGTTTTTTTTTGTTTTTTTTGTTTTGATAAAATAATAAGAATAATAAGATAGTAATGGCGAAAGCATGTGACTCGATGGGTGGAAAGTAAAAATAAATAAATAAATAAATAAAGAGAGAAAGTGGGGGACATGAGGAGGATGAGGAGAAGAAGAAAACGAATAAAAAAAAAGTGGTGGCGTGATTTGAAAAACAAAAGGTAGTGGATGGCAACAGTAAAAGAAAAAGAAAGAAAAAGAGAGGATTTAAAGGGAGAGAGAGAGAGGGAGTGGGTGGATTTAAAAAGAAAAAAAAAATGTTTTCATCACATGTGTGTGTATGTGGCAGTGTGAATGGTGTGTAGCTTTATGTGTGGTGTAGTCTGTCTATCATTAGTGTTTGGGAATCAGAGTTCCAGCTCCAATGGGCACACACAAATACATGAGAACCAATCAACCGAAATTCCCTTGTTCCAGAACCCTCCGGGACCGTCTTCGGCGCCGGGGAAGTTCAACCGTTTCGCAACGGCACTGGTGGCGACGATCACCGAATTGGCGAGGACGGCCTTGGAATCGGCGAAGACCTTGAAGGGACGAGTGGAGAAATCGACTTTCGTCACGGTTTCGGTGAAGATCTCGGTGCCGAATTTGAGGGATTGGTTTCGGCACTTTGCCATTAGGTCCAAGCCGAGGATTCCTTCTGGGAAGCCGGGGAAGTTCTCGACGTCGGTGGTGGTGGTGAGCTGGCCGCCGGGGGCGATGTTGTTGGCCATCCAACCCTCGAAGAGAACGGGCTTCAGTTCGGCCCGGGCCGCGTAGATGGCGGCTGTGTAGGCGGCGGGGCCACTGCCGATGATGCAGAGGCGGGTCTTGAGGGTCTGAAAGTCGTCCATGACGGCGGCGGAGCTGGCGGCCGTGGTGGGAGAGGCGGCTTGTTGGTGGTGCTGGTGGTGGTGGCTCGGCAATGCTCAGTCACGGCTGGAAGCTGTATGGTAGCTCAGTCGTGGAGTTGCAGCAGTGGGTTGAGCTGTGCTGTCTGTGTGTGTGTGATGTGTGGAGTGGCCGGTGGTGGAGACCTCACTGGTGTGAAGGTGTTGATTATTCCCTCAGAGAGACAAGAGTTCAGTTTAGTTATGGAATGTGTGGCAGCGGAGTGAAGGTATGTGTAGAGGTCCGGCGGGCGGCTAAGGCAAGGTTGCCGCCCGCCAGAAGGCGAAGAGCACCAAGAGCTTAACCTATAGCTCTGATACCATGTAAGATAAATTGATAGAGAGAGAATTACAGAGAAAATGAATTATGTATTATTGATTGATTGTATATTGATTGATATATTGAATTGTGTATATTACAAGGATTTATATAGGAGAGGATTTGGGAGTAGGTGAAGGTGGTAGTGGAGGTGGTAGGTGGAGTGGGAGTGAAGTAGTTTACATTTACTTTTACAATTTACATTAACATGGCGGTTTCTATGAAAAAAAATTTACAGACAAATATATACATTGACACCCATACATTTCTAGTAAGTTTGGTTTGAAATAATGAATCTTTAAAATATTGTCATATTAAAATGCCTACTCAATGAAGGTGAAGTGTTTTGAGTGGATGACAGTGAACTGAACAAATGGGGAAAAATCAACAATGCACAATCACTTATCAAATTCCAATCGTAAATAAATTTCAGAAAATTTTAACACACCAACATGAACTGAAAATTGGGAAAAAAAATATCAACAAACAGATCTATATCTATTCTATTCAGACCCAACATGAACTGAAAAAATATGAACCTGGAAAAATATGAAATAATGATTCTTCATGAAAAAGACAAATATATACATTCACACCCATACATTTCTAGTAAGTTTGGTTTGAAATAATGATTCTTTAAAATATTGTCATATTAAAATGCCTACTCAATGAAGGTGAAGTGTTTTGAGTGGATGACAGTGAACTGAACAAAGAAAAACAGAGAGGGTGCAGGGGAAGGATTTGAATCTTTAATTGTGATCCAAACAAAACCTTCCAAACAAAACCATTCTACTATCAGGTTTGGATATAGAAATGCTTACCAAATTAAAAAGGGAAGATAATGTGGGTGGTTGTTGTTGTTGTTGCGGCAGTGGTGGTGGAGGTGTGCTGGTGTTGGGGAGAGGAAGTGAGGCAGAGGAACACTGCAGAGATCACGATATTCACAGAAGATGCGATATTCACAGAAGATGGTGAGGAGGATAAGGCTGATTCTTGGGCTGATTGGGAGACGGGTGAACTTTCAGCATTGGGAGACGGGTGAACTTTCAGCAGAGAACATACCAAGGAAGATGCAAAATATTGAAGGAAGATGTTGTAACTGCTTCAGACGTGGAGGTAAGGGAAGTGGGAGGTGGAATTGGTGTTTGAATTTATCATTTTACCCCTAATTAAAATTGATGTAAGTGTAAAAAGTTAAGGTCATTTTAGGAAAATTTGAGAAAAGTTTTTTAGGGATGGCTTCATGACACCAAAATTGGTGTTGGCTTTTAATAATAGAATAGATATAGGTCTGAAATTTCTTTTTGGGTCCCTCATATTGGGCCTCTTTATTAGTTTGGGCCTTTGTCTTTGGCATCAAAAATTGAGGGCCCAAGGCACAAGAGCCTTAGGCCTATTTGGGCAATAATAAAAAAAAAAGTCACATTTTTTTTTTCTGAATTTTTTTGTTTTTAGTGATTTTTTTTATAAACATTATGTCAAAATTTTTTATATTTCCAGTCTGTCTTGTCGAGATGAATCTAAAAAGTATGTTTTTTTATAAAAAAAAATCTGAGAAAAAATATACTAAAGACAAAAATAAGCCAAAAATATTGTTTTTTTTTTTTGTCTTTTCTATATATATATATTTTTTTGGATTGTTTAAAAAAAATCACTAAAACTTTTTTAAAAAAATCATTAAAGACGAAAATAAGCCAAAAAAGCCACTTCCCAAAACACCCCTTTTATATCGTCTGTGTTTAGGATCGGGTCTGACTACCGGTATAAGAAGCAAGTTATACCCATAGTCCTGATAATTTTTTTTTGGATCCTTTTAGTTTTGAGGACTCGAGGAAAATTTTTATCATTAACTAATGAATAGATTTAAATGAATTGCTTGAGTGAAAAACAAGATCAGATCTCACACTACTCATTTGGAGACATAATGACATTGCCCCATACTTGTTCTGACATTAAAATTTGGCTTTTGCTAGGAGTGCACAAAATTTTAAATTCTTACTTAAGTCCATATCAAATTAAAAATATATAGTTCAAATTGTAAAAAAAAATGAATTAGATTCGAATTGCTCCAGTTGAGCTTACCTAAATTGCTAATTGAACCTATAGCTGCACAACTATGATTGGTAGTGAGGGGTGTAAATGTGGCCCCGCCCGGCCCATGTCAGGCCTTGTGAGCTCCCGCCAAAATTCGGGTCGGGCTGGGCCAATCCACAGGCCAAAAAAATTAAGCCCAGGCCTAGGGGTATTCGGGCCTTGGGCCAGCCGGCCCAATGGGCTCGGGCTTGGGCTGGGCTTGATCTTTTTTTTATTTTTTAATATTTTTTCTACCAAAATTTTATTATTTTCCATTAAAAAATACACTGGGCCTCGGGCGGCCCGGACGTGGCGGGCCCTAAGTGGGCCTTAAGTGGCCAATAGGCTAGGCCAAGCGGGCTGGTCCCACGACCTGAGTCAGGCTTCAAAACGATGGTCTAGGCCTTGGCCCAAGGGGTCGAGCTGGGTTCAGGCTTGGGCCCAAGCGAGCCTAAACGAGCCAGGCCCATCCCGGGCAACGGGCGGGCTTCAGGCCATCCACAGGTCGCGGGCCATTTTTACACTCCTATTGGTAGTGACATCTTTTTTTTTTTTTTTAAGTTACATCAGAAAGGAAGCGATTGGTAGTGACATCACGGGCCAGTTTCGTAACCGAAGAACCAGTAACATTTGGGCTTATCAATTCGAAGCACAATTTTTTTCTTCCTCTAGTCAACAATAAGAAGATATATAGTAATAATAATTTCTTGAGGTAATGTTAAGTATAAAAATTTAGGGTTAGAATTATCTCAGGTTGAGATCTCAACATGACACAATTTAAGGGGTCTATAGGGCTCATTATGGGTTCTATTTTAATGATCTGAACTATTTATTTGTAGAGCTCTCAATATATATTATTCAAAAAAAAACTAGTTTGATTTAATATTCATAACTTTTTTAATTTGTTATATTTATGTTCGAAAAAATGGACGACAAATATACTTTTGAAATAGACCATTCATTTTTTTAGAAATAAATGTGATAAAATAAAAATTTTATGATTATCGGATCGCTCTAAAACTTTTCATGGATATTACACATTGCGAACCCTACAAAATGAATGGTTTGGATTATCGAAACGAGACCTGTGTTGGGCCTTATGAGCCCCTCAAGTTCTGTCGTGTAGAGATCTTAACATGAGAGAAGCCCAACCAAAAAATTTAAATATTCATTTCAATTGTAAACATTTGTAATTGACCCAATGAGTTAAAAATTTTTTTTTTTTTTTTTGTCACGCCCCCAAAATAATATAGTAAATACCATCCAAAACATTCATTGGTAACTATATAATTCAGAGTAAATAGTCCTTTCATTACATGAAGTTAATATTACAAAAGAGTTTAACATAAATAAATGTCCTTTAGGCTTACACCTTTCCAAGTCTTAGCTTAGTTACAACAAAAATTAGACTAGCTCATACAATTTTAGCCTTAGGCTATACAAAAAAATAAAACAAAACAAGAAGCTCTTGCTTCCCAAAGGTCCCTCCAATGCTATTGCCTTGGTGGAGGCATGCCATCATTACCTGAAAATATTTTTTCCAAATAGGGTGAGCCACAATCTAGTGGGAATAATCTAACACAATATATGAAATTTAACAAAGGTATAAATGCATTGTGCATGTACAATGCCCGGGATAAAACATTTACACTTTATACATGTTCATAAGGACAACAAATTCATATTCCATTTCACTTTTCTTCAATTCATTTCGTTACATGAGCTAATTTCATTCTTTCTTACTAACCCAAATGAGACTACAACTCAATGGTTCAACAATTTGACAATTAACACACACACTTCCAACTGTCATTTTACGGATATTTCGTTCGCGGGATCGGCACCCATGTATAATTTCGGGACTTTCACCCAGGACACTCCGGTCAACTTAATTATAATGGAGTCCATCCTCTTTCTCCTCCTAAACAATGGAGCACATCCCCTTTCCACTCCCAAATAATTACACATATACAATGTATTTAAACGCATAATCATACATGGAGTACATCCCCTTTCTTCTCTCAAATAATCATACATATACAATGTATTCATAACATAATTATATCTAATGATAATCAACCATGGACTAGTTTCAATTCACATAATCCACATACAATTTCTACAACAAGCAAAACTCCACCAATAGCCCAATACAGATATTTCTAAACAGTTATACAATCTCAAGATAGATAATTTGTCCAACATTTCCAAGGATGTGAAGCATTATATACTCAATTTCATCATCTATTTCAATACTCACTCAATTCTATGTTTGCAACACCAATTTCAACTATTTATACAAAATAGATATGACAATCAATTTAGGGCAAAAATCCCTCTTTTCAAAACACCAATCCAAATACCAAAATCACCCATTTTGACACAACATGACTTCATTTTCCAACCCCATGTTCATTTATTTCATTTCTACCAAAAACCCCTCTTTTACATTTCACCCAAACCCTAGGTTTGGCTCAAAATACTCCCAAACCCCACCATTGTTACACAATCACAAATAACTAAATTAAAAATCACAACAAAGTGTAAAAAATCCCTACCTCAAAGAGAAAAT